ATCCTCCACTGCAATCACATGACAAACAGCCAGCAGAATGCTACTCCTGTTCCCTGACAACTAAATATCAACTACATTATGCCATCAAACTGTTGCACACCAACAAATGTGTTCAAGCAAAAGAAACCAGACAACTTATGTTTTATTTCCACCATGTCTTGTCCTCTCCTTGAAAAGTGAAGCAAGGGAATGAGGAGCAGCAGCCTTTGTGTGTGCATGCACCCTCAGTTTTAGCCCAGAAGAGTAGAAGTTACTTAATATATTCATGTTTATGTGCCGTCCAGAAAAAACACTTAAATATTACTGGTAAAATAATTTTAGCATTTACTTTTTTTTGTTCAGTAATATTGATATATAATATAATGCATATTGTTTATTTAGTAAATTCTAGTAGTTTAGATATTTAGATTTTTTTTGTAAAATTTAAAAGAATAATTAAATAAGTGTTACTACACCCAAAAGTTTGTTTTTTTCAGTGAAGGGGTAAAAGACCATCTCTAGACATTCTGGAGTTCGTATTCCCGCAGGAAGGAAAACCTTTCACAAGCATAAAAGGTTCAAGAGGGTTGTCAGTCTCCTCAGGGGGGCCAGCTCAAGGTCAGAGTGTGTGACGTTCAGAAAGTATCACAAGAGAACATCAGAATTAGAACTGCAGCACCAAACGCTGCATCACAGCCTCTATGGGCCTCTGTTGTGTTAAATGCTGACATTACAATCAGAAAAACAAGCAATAAGGAGAATAGCTTGTTTGGATAGGTTGCCAGGAGAAAGCTTATTCTTTAAAAAAAATGATGGCAGCAAATATTAGATTTTCAAAATAGCTTTTGAGACAAACCACAAGACGTCTGGCACAATGCCCTTTTGGACTGACAAAAGCCAAACTGGAATTGTTTGACCATAACACACAGCGCTACATTTGAAGAAAACCAAACACAGCATGTCAACACAAATACTTCCCCATCTGCCAGGCACGGTGGTGGAGGCCTGATGATCTGGGCTTGTTTTAAATCCACGGGACCTGAATGCATTTTGCAGTACCTGCTACAAATACAAGCCATCAATCAATACACTGGAGGTTTGGTCCACAACTGATGGCAAGCAGCAGCAAATTATATGAAGAGAAAATGGCATTTTTCTTCACAAAAATATGCTTTAATTTTTTTTAATTTTTATTTTGTTAGTGTTAATTTGAACTTGAATCCTAAACACAGGTTTTTCTGACACACTTTTTCAGAGCATTTTTAATCAGAGCAGTTTGTTTTGTTTGGCTCATTGGATCTTGACAAAGACACTGAACAAATTACTTATCACTTTAGGACTTCTATTATAAATTGTAACCAATTTAAAGCCAGCATCTCACTGAACTGGACTACTTTAGGAACAACATTCAGAAGAGAGTCTACTGAAACACTCAGCAGTGGTCCTCAGCTGTAGCTGTAGTTCATCATCATCAGTCTGGTTTGGGCTGCATTTTAGCAGATGAATAAAGCGCTGCAGATGTTGGTGAGGTTGATGAGAGTAAATGAACAGAAAACAAGAAGAAGCCATGACTTCTGGTTCAGAACCCTGCAGAGTTTTCTGACAGCAAACCTGCAGCTCAGGAGCGACTCGGGAAAAGTCTGCTGGTTCTCTGTCAACAAGCTGAAAACACATGTGGACATTTAGGCTGATTGTTTAGAGATTTTACCCAAAGCCTCAACGTTTCCATGCCTCTCGGTGGCTGACAACTCCTAAAATTATAAAGATTTGCCTCGTCTTCCTGTTATTTTGACACTTTTCCACTCAGCACAAACGTTAATGTTGTAGAAACTATATGTTTAATGAATGATGAGTGATAATGCCAACAGGACAAAGCTTTTCAGAGTCATTCATCACAACACAGTTAGGGACTAGATTCTTGTGCTGCCATTTCAGCACTACCCATAATGCACTGTGGCTATAACAACAATGCTGGTCTACAAGTAACACAATTTCTCTCCTTTAATGAAACAAAACAAACACTTGAGAACAACCAGTGTAGCTAACGTCATCTGAAGCCATGAAAGTTTATATTTAAATTAAAGAGACTTACAATAATCTGATGGTTGAGATTATTTATCCATGGATCTGAGCAGGTGACGTTACAGAATAAAGTTAAGTCATTCAACCGCTGCCACCTTTTTACAGTGGGTTAAAGAAACCTGTGTGTGTGTGTGCAGAATTATTAATGTTGCAGTGTGTGTAACTGGTGTGACAAACAGTCGTTTTTGCCTTTTTGTCACACTAATGTACTCAAAACTGAATAAGTGAGTTCAGTCATCCCACTGTTGCATCTGTTTAAGGCAGTAACTCCTGTGGTTTTAGGGTTTATTCTGAAATTTAATTTTTTAGGTTTTGTTTGAGATTTTAATTTCATTTCATTATTTTGATATTTTTTAATGAAACTGATGGACTCAATTTGATATATATATATAT